ATCGATTAACTGGGATAAATCTGTGTATGTACTCCCACCCTCTCAAAACCTGTGTGTGGACTGGGGCATGAGACAAATACCGGCCAACGCTTCTGATCGCTTCTTGGGAGTACAAGTATCACTATCTGATTGTTCGGCTGTGCAGGATGAGATCTTGGCAGAAAAGGTGTCAGCAAGAATTACAGGCCGGATACGCAGCCACAAACTCTCCTTATATGGGAGGGCCCTAGTATTATCTGCGGCGACGTTCTCCATTTTGTGGTTTCCTCTGTCGGTACATAGACTGGGTGAAGATGCTTATCCAAAGATCAAAAGAGCTGCAGCACGCTACCTCTGGAAACCTTCAGCCTCCAATGACCAGGGTTTCCTCCCCAAAGTAGCTTGGGAAACAATTGCTACAACTAGAGATAAGGGGGGACTGGGAGTCCTGGACCCCATCCAGCAAAACCTAGCCCTGCTGTGTAAATGGGTGATAGCTGCTACTTGGGGAAAAATGACAAAGTTGTGGGTAGCCCTAGCAGAGTATATTCTTGTGCTGGAATGGGGTCTGTCCAAAGGGGAGGATGTGTGGAAATGTTTGTTTATTTCGTCCTTCTCCAATAGGCGCCCCAAATCAAGATTTTGGAAAGGCATACTGCATGCATGGTTCAAGCTGTTTCCTAAAGAGAAAATACAGCCCACATCTAGATGGGAAGCGCTGAACCAGATAATCTTTGAGAATCCTCCAATCACCCAGCCTGATGGCTCGCCATTATCGGCAGATGGAAGTCCAGGCACCTTTGGCAGGGGTTGGGTAGAAAAAGGAATTATTCAGGTTAAGGACATATGAGATGTAAACATAGCTAACTGGTCTACAGCGAGGGACATACGCCGAAGACTGCCAAGGTTGCATAATGTAGAAGCGAACTTGGAACTAATTGTTTCGGCTATTCCTGATTTTTGGGTGGGCCTGTTCAAGGGACAAACAGAAGCTCCTGCAGGCACATGGGTTCAGGACCCTGCTGACTCAGGTACCTTCTTAAAAATCTTAGACCTGACTCGGGGAGTACAGGTTCAAGTGTGGGCGTTAAGGCTTGGTAAGAACAAGGAAACACCCCTGATACACAGGGGAGAAAAGATAGTCTCAGAGACGGGAGGGTATGTTGAAAGCAGAGTTTGGACCACGGATCCTACGGACAAGGCCAAAAACCTGTTTTTGTTCGAAAACACTGAAGACATAACAGTGGAACCAGCACAATTTGGATGGATGGGTTTAAGGGAGGCCGACTCCTTCTCACCAGCCTTTGAGTACAAAACTAAATGGGGAGTGGCTATACAAAGAGCCAAAATCAAAAGACAACCAGAAGTAGTGGCAGCCGAACGGCATTCAAAGGTTGAAGGCTTCCAGGTGGGGGCATTGGATCTGCATGGGCTCTGGAGGGCACTTAAGCTGATTCCCTCACAGAAGCAGGCTAGTCCAATGTGGCTGCAGTCACTGATGGTGACAGCCTCAACAAGCTGGCTTGCTGCAAAGGGCATGGAAATCTTGGAGGTATGCTCCAGATGCCAATGGGGTTGGGAGACCACCAACCATCTCTGGCTGTACTGTCCGCTGCCTCTGCAATTGTGGGATTGGTGGAAAGCACACTCGGTAACTTTTTCAGATGCAGAATTCATCTGGACACAGGAGTGGATACTGTTTGCCCACTGTTCGTCTGAAACGGATCTGACAAGTGGTTGGGGATATATAGCCTTGGTGTGCGGAGGGATACTTTTGGAAGTCATTTGGAAAGCCAGAAATAAGGCATGCTTTAAACAGGAAGAGTCGACATGCGCGCAAATGATAGCCTCCACCAAAAGCTACATTAGGCTCACTATTAGAGCCGACTGGCAGCATTCTAAAGCCCACCCGAGGAAAGGGAGGGCGTGGTTCGATAAGACTTGGGCCGAAAAGGGAACTTCAGTATCCGTGCTTCCAGACTCCAAACTGCAATTTTGCAGTTGGCTGTTCCCGAATCAAGAGACAGTTGGAAACTAGGACCGCTTTAGGCCCGAACAGGTACCTGGTTGATGGATGAATGAATAGGGAAATGATAGGAGGTAGAAATGGAACAAACAGTATCAGTAGGAAGGCTGTTTTTAGGGAACAGACTCTCCATCCCCTATTCTAGTGTAGAAGACTCTGCATTCCCTTTGGGGGTTGATGGAACACAAATAGGCTGGATGATAGCGGATTTTTGGTTGAGAGAAGTAGAACTTAGGTGTTGGTAGAAAAGGGTCTTGGGGAGAAGAATTAGATGTTAGAGGCATAGGATAGTCTACAATTGCTAGGACCTTAAGCTAGATCGTTACTTAGGTATAGATGAGGGCACACCTACACAAGCTAAACCGGCTGATGCTGCCGGGATAACTCCGGGTTGAATTGTGAGGTCCCCGGCCTCAGAATGTGTTTTTTTTTAAAAGGGAATTTAAAAAAAAAAAAAAAAAAAAAAAAAAGAGATCTCCCACACACAAACTC